TTCTCGCTGGCCAGCCCCGGGCGCTACATGGCGCACCACCCGGTCATCACCAACGGCGCCTACAACAGCCTCCTCTCCAACGCGGCGGCCCCGCAAGGCTACCCGGCCGCCGGCTACCCGTACCCGCAGCAGTACGGCCCCTCGTACCAGGGCTCGCCCTTCTACCAGTTCCCCTCCGCCCAAGGCGGGCTGGTGCCGGGCAAGGCGCAGGTCTACCTCTGCAACCGGCCCCTCTGGCTGAAGTTCCACCGCCACCAGACCGAGATGATCATAACCAAGCAAGGCAGGTAAGCGGCGCGCCGGCCGGCGAGGGCGCCGGGCAAAGGAGCGCCGCGCCGGGCAAGGCTCCTGCCCGCCGGCCTCTCCTCGGGAGTTGCCTTCCCCGGTTCCCCCTTCCTTCTCTCCCGCCTTTGAATGCCGGCTGCCTCTCTTCATTCCCTCTCACTTTCTACCTTTCGCGGGGAGTTTGGTTTTCTTTCGCTTTGGGCTCGCAAACCGAGAAGCCGCCGAGAAGGAGCGCAAGCAAAACAACAGGAGACAAAGAAGGGGAGGAAAAACTGTTCCCCCTTTTTTCCTTTTTCCCGTTTCTTTTCTTTTCTCTTGTTTTTTGGGGGGGAATTAATTTTCTTTTCCTTTTTGTGTGTCTTTATTCCCCCCCCCCAACCTACTTCTCCTTAATTATTTCAATCTTTTTCTTCCTCGCTCTAGGGAGAATATTATGATAATAATTTTAAAAACCAAAAAGCGTTGTTGCCTACTGTTAAGGACAGCAACGGATGTTCCATTTATCCTCCTCGTCGACAAGAACGGCATCGCCACCGTCGTCCTTATTCCGGGTTGATCATTCGGGGCGTCATCTTGAGGATGGCCTCCCGCGCTTCCTAAGGGCCAGCGCTGCCCCCAGTTGCGCGCATGGCCGGGCTTATTATGCCGGCGACCTGCTTTCAAGGAGGCTTGGGCGGAGAGGCACCGGGAATCCGCAAGGCAACCTGAGCCTCGGGTCCCAGGTTTTGCTCCCGCGGTACCCCGTGTGACAGGCAATCCCCAGGCTCACGATCGCCCGCTGGCCTTTTGGGGATCCCGAAAGAAAGTTCCACGGGAATCTCTGGCACCTGCGTTCCGGTAGCTGGAAGACCTTTCTTTGGAGTCGCCAGGAAGGGCTGGTTGCCAGCCACTGGGGCGACGGTCGCAGTCTGGCCGCCGGGGCCTTGGTAGCCCTCACCCTGTTTTTGGTTTTTTGGTTTGTTTGTTTTTTTCGGAAGCAGGTGCTCGCCATTTCAAATCGGAATGGTGCTTAGCCTTGTCATCTGATGCTAAGTACCCGGAATAGCTTTCCGCCGAGCGAAAGGGGGATACGAACTGGCTCACTTTGGGGGTTATTTTGCGCCTTTCTCAAGAGAAGGCGATCGACAAGAAACGAAAAACCGCAAGCTTATTTAGCAAAGGGCAAGATTATTGAGATCATTCAGCGAGAGGCCTCAAGGAGAGGGAAGGGGTTTTGTTTTATTTGTTCTATCAATTAAAAAAACATTTATCTCCTTTTTCTTTACAACAAGAAACAAAAACAAAAAAACCCTGCTTGCTTCCTTTCTCAAAACAGGCGGATGTTCCCTTTCTTAAGTTTTAATATTTCTGGTCTGGATCCCACGGCTCACTACAATATTTTTGTGGATGTCATCCTGGCCGACCCGAATCACTGGAGATTTCAAGGCGGCAAATGGGTTCCTTGCGGCAAAGCGGACACCAACGTCCAAGGCAAGCCTTCCCCCAATTAACACGTTCGCTTCACCTCTCTCCCTCCTCCCCCCCCCCGCTCCTCCACTTCCATGCACAAAGGCGCGCGAGCGCAAACACACACACACACACACACAATCGGGCACCCTTCAGCTGAGGTGAGAAGGCTTAATTGGAGCCTTGGTGGACTGGTTCAGATCAGCCAGGTTGTGACAAAAGGAAGGGAGGGGGAGGGCGGCTGGAAGAGCGGGGAAGCGGAGGGAAAGGGTGGTGCAATTCTCAGGGTGTTTTTTTTTTTAAATCTACCTCCTCCAACTCGCTTTTTAAGCTTCCTTTTCCCCCGTTTGTTGTTGATTTACACCATTCCCGGTTGAACTCAAACTGGAAGAGGGGATCCGCCGCCGCTTTTCGGGCTGGGAAGGGCCCAAGGGATTTTCTGAAGTCCTTGGTGGACAGGCTTGGAAGAGGGTGCCGGGGATGAGGAGGGAAGGAGTACACCTAATATAAATGGGATCCCTTCCTTCCTTCCTTCCTTCCTTCCTTTCCTTCCTTCCTTCCCATCTGCTCTTGCTCTTCTTCGGCGCGTGTTTGGCGTGACCGTGTCCTGTCTTCCATTCAGGAAACCGGGTCTATATGCACCCCGACTCACCCAACACGGGAGCCCATTGGATGCGCCAGGAAATCTCCTTCGGGAAGTTGAAGCTGACCAACAATAAAGGGGCCTCCAACAACAACGGGCAGGTCAGTTGAGGACGCGCCGGCCCGGTCAGCTCCCCTTGGCTTCAGGGAGGCAGCGTTAGTTTTGTTTTGTTCGCCCCCCCCCCCGCAAGCGGGCTGCCGAAGGGACTTGTCTTTCTTCTGCTTCCCAGCGACAAGTTCCGGAGGCGCGGGATCCGAGAGGCTCGCTTCCCTTCCCCGCCTTTCATAACCCGAGCGAAGAAAGCAAGCCTCCCGGAGCCGCAAAGGCTCGATTTGTTAAAAAAAGAGACAGAAACAAAGGAAGGACATTTTAAAGAATGGAGTCATCGATTCCAATTTAAAAAACACCCCCCCCAAAAAAAAAACCCCACACCGAAAAGGAAAACTCAAAAAAGCAGATTGCGGGTGTGATCCAGTTATAGAGTGGCCAAAGTCACGGAGGGTTTGGGGGAGAAGAAAGGGGGGGCGGCGGGAATCCCACCGTTTGCTGAAGAAGGTGCGCTGCCCGAGTGGGGGGTGGTGCGGGTGCATGGGGGGGGCGCGGCGGAGGGGAACAAAGGCGCCGCAGGACGGGAGGGAGAAGCCTGGCTCGGTCGGCGGGAGGCGGCGGCGGCTCCCTCGGCTTTCCCTTTCGCTTTCCGCGGCCTCTCCCGTTCGCACCGATAAAGGCCGCGGCCAGGGCGAAGGTCCCGGAGCCCACGGCCCTGTTTTGTTCTCTCCCCGGCCCGCAGATGGTGGTCTTGCAGTCCCTCCACAAATACCAGCCCCGCTTGCACGTGGTGGAGGTGAACGAAGACGGCACCGAGGACACCAGCCAGCCCGGCCGCGTGCAGACGTTCACCTTCCCGGAGACGCAGTTCATCGCCGTCACCGCCTACCAGAACACCGACGTAAAGAGCTTCCTTTGAGTCTCGCCCCCCCCCCCTCGCCCCCGGACAGGGACAGGCCGGCCTTGGGAAGGCGGCGGCGGCGGCGGAGGGTTGGAGGGGAGGAATCCGGCTCGGTGGCAACGGGGGGGATGTGCCCTGGGGAGCGAGTTAGCTTCGGCACCGCCACAAACCCGTCTTCAGGGGCGGCTGCCTTCTCCCGGCCAAGCGTCTTGGGGGCCGGGTGTGGGTGGGGTTGCGTTTAGGGGTCGCTTGGGTTTGGTTTTCGTCCTTTAGAACCGAAATCTCTGCCGAAATGGGAGCATCATGAGAGATGCCCGAGAAATCCCAGGCCGATTTCTCTGCTCCCTCGAGGGGCCCCGGGGCCTTCGCTGTCCCTCCCCTTCCCCCCCTCCTGCAGGTGCTCCTTCCCGCCTCTCCGGCCAGGCCGAACTGCCGCCGTCTCACTTGGGGAGGCCAGTCGGCTTAGAACGCGCGCGCTCCTTTGATGCCCCGTGTGTGTGTGTGTGTGTGTGTGTGTGTTTGGTACGGTTGTGTGTTTGCACATACACGCACGCAGGGTTTGGTGCGCGCTCCTTTACAACACAAACAAACAAACAAATAAAAATAAACCGGAGTCGCTGCCGCTCGGAAGCATTCCGTTGCGGGTGCCGTTGCTCGGGGGGGGGGCATGCTGTAAACTCATCCTTGGGCATAAGACTCGCTGAACTACCGAGTAGGCAGGGAAGCCATCGCCTGGTGCAAGGCTGTGCACGTCTACCCAGAAGTAGTCCTGATGGTTCAATGAGATTGGCTCCTCTGGCAAACGAGTACATCCGACGGCGATCTTTCAGTCTCCAAAGTCGGCTTTCAAATAAATGTTTTAGTTAACGAACCATTGCAGGTTCCACTGTGTTTTTGTTTGTTTTCGCTTCTCGCCTTTCTTTTCTTTTCTTTTCTTTTCTTTCTTTCTTTCTCTCTCTCTCTCTTTCTCTCTTTCTTTCTTTCGGCTCTCAGTTCCGCCCTCTTTTGAGCCGTTAGGGCATCTCTCAGCCCTTCCCTACCGAAATCCATGCCTGTTCCCTTTCCGGCCCGCATTTCTTCATTTCTCAAGCACTACCATTCAGGAGGAAGCGGTGGTTGGGATAATTCTCTCCCTGCTGTTATTAACTGCAAGGGCCTCTTGTTGATCTACTCAAATCACCCAGAAACTTACCAGCAGATCGAGATCCAGCCTCTGCCTATCCGGATCTAAATACATCACTAGTCTCTTTAGTGAAGGCACCGTTGGGCACCTGTCTGGATTAGGCAGTCCAGCCACCCAAGCCGAGAGGCTGGGAAGGGAGTCCCACTGAATTAAATGGGGTTTCCAATCTGTGCGAGTCTTATTCCCAAGGAGTGTGTGTGTGTGTATGGGTCTGTGTGTGTTTGGGAGGGGGAGCCAAACTGCAGGAAGTCCGAAGACGGATTTGAGGTCCCCAGTGCGGAGGGTAGCGAATGTTGCAAGGTGGCGGGCCTTGAGTTGCGGAGGCGAACTGGCATTTGAGCTGTTCCTTCAAGCGAAAATATCTGAACCCATCGAAGTTAATGAAGTCCTTAAGAAGGGACGGCTATGTGCCTGTGTGGGAGGGAGAAAGTCATGAAGTGTTTCTAAATTTTTAAAATAATAATAATTAGCACTCTGCTCCTGTTAAAGAGAGGGACTTCCAAGATGAAGCCCCAGAAACGTTGCTTTTCCATAAATTAAAACAAAAGATAACCTGGCAGAGGCAGCACCGGCTTTTGTTCTTCCTTGTGTTCAGGAACAGATGGTTGACTCTCTCTTTCCCCCCCCCCCTCACAGATCACACAGCTGAAGATAGATCACAATCCTTTCGCAAAAGGCTTTCGAGACAATTATGACACGTAAGTCACCTTGGCTTCAGTTGTTTATTCTCTGATCGTACCTAGAAATAAATGTAAGGGCGAGAGGACACCTTGGCGTGGCTAGTTGTGCCTTCTCGATTTCTCCAGAGAGAAATCAGTGGAATTAGATTTCTCATGATGGCGGAGTGTCCCTGGGACGGGTCCCCTCTGAGGACGTTTGGGAGTGTCCCTGAGAGTGAAAGCAAGCTTTGCGCGTGGAAAAGACACGTCCAGGCACAGGCTAACCATCACCAACCCCGGTTAGAGTGCAGGACGAGCAGCCAAAAAGGGGCACCTGTTCAGCGGGTTCCTTAATGGGAAGACCGGGTGCTCGGGGAAACCGACTTTGGCCTCGCCGGCTTTCCCCCAGGTAGGGCGCTCTGCCTCGGTTTAGAGGCTTAGGGAAGAGAAAGCAAATCGCTGAGATTGGGGCGGCAGCGGAGAGGTATTGTTATCTAAATAATCTGGAGTGCATTAGGTAGGTGAGGAATATCTAGCTAGGTAGTTAGCTAGCTAGCTATTGCCTTTCCGTCTTGTGCTCCCTTGGAGTAAAAAAAAAGGGGTGGGTGGGTCCTGTTTTATACTCACAACAACCTTGTGAGGTGATTTAGATAATTCACAGCGAAGCAAGGGTCAAGTCTTCCCAATGGTCAGTCCAGCAGCTTTTATCATCCCTTCCCAGAATTCTTATCCCAGCTTGAAACGAATGTGTTTGGGATTTCCCCCCCCCCCCTACTGTTGCATAAGCAGTGAAGGGAACTGCAGTACTTTTAAGCCTGCTTTCTAGGGAAGAAGTTCCATTGCAACAGAACTTGCTTCAAAGTAAGTTAATTCATGCTTAGAATCACAAAGGCTGATAAATAACTTCCTAACTTCAAATGATAATAATAATGATAATAATAAATTCTGACTTATGGTGACCCTTTTCAGGGTTTTATAGGTAGAGAATACCCAGAAGTGGTTTACCATCCCCTTCTTCTGGGGCCATCCTGGGACTGTGCAGCTTGCCCAAGGCCACACAGGCTGGTTCCTCTCCTTGGAAGCACAGTGAGGAATCAAACTCTCAGTCTTTAGCTCTGCAGATAGATATTTAAACCACTGAGATATACAGACAGCACCCTAACTTTAAAATGGGTGGGGAGTATCTGGCATTCCAGATCTTATCAGATTCCCAACACCCATATGTCCAAGCAGCATGGCCGGTACTTGGGGATGATTGGAGTTGTGGCTGAAAGATCCCGGGTTCTCCAAATGTAGTAAACAACAGAACGTCAACATCACAAAGGATAAACCTTCTCCACCACAGTTCTGTAGCCACATATTAGGATGTTCTTTTTCATTTACTGTCTTAAAAGAAGAAGATGACTCTGGACTATAGAAAGGATGATTCTGGACTATCTCTCGTAGAAAAAATATGAGCAATTGTAGAAAATGTCTATATTAAAGCTAATCCTGTTAGGGAAAGTCAGGAAGGAAGAAGATTCAGTGGAAGAGCCAGAGTTAAGGCTTTATCTAGTTAGAAATCTCACAACAATTATGGTTTCTAGTCCACCCTCCCACTGCCCCCCCAAGCGATTTAAATACCTGATCTTTAAAACAGGATCAAAACAACAAAACTTAGGATAAAAAAAAATTGGGGGGCTGGCACAGGTTTTAAGTTACCCAGAATGCCTCTTTACTAGGCTCCTAGAGAAACCTCAGTCCTTTCAGAACCCCTCGGGTTTTCAAACGAACCGAAGGGTCACCTTATGAAACTTTTTTGTGTGTGGGGTGCTGCTTGTACAGCCTTTCCCCCACCCCGCCTGGAAGAGGTGGGTTTTGTCCTCAACCTCTGTTGAGAATGGATGAAGCCAGTGCAGCAAAAAGAATCTCAGGTCTCAAGGCCAAGGACCGACATAAGGCTGACTGGTGGTTGATGGCCGTGGGGACTTCAGAAGCCAGTTCAGCAGGAACGTAGGCATCTCTTGGCTCAGAAGCCATGCCCACAGGATTCAAAAGGGGTTTTACCCTCTGGCATAAGCAATCTGGGGAAGGAAAGTTACCTGTGAGTCCCAGGTCAGTGTGCAAAGGGTGGCAGAAATACAGTCGCTATTGCCTTGCTGGCTGGAGGTGTCCATGGCTCAGCAGGAAAAGTGTGCAATGGCTGAAATCTAGTAGTAAGTCACAGGTAGAGTAGGCCCATTAGAATCAATGGGACTTATGGAGGAATTGACTCTGCAGATCCCAGCTCATTCAGTGGGCCTGCTCTACTTCCCAGTCTCAATCTCTGGTAGAGACTGGCTTTTTTGGGGGGGGAAAGCCAAGCTAGTCACCCAACTAGACCTGTAATTAATAAATGTGGGAGGGTGAAATGTGGCCTGCAGAGGCTATGAATGATAGGCAGAACTTTCCTCTCCCTTCTTCAGTGCCATGGAAACAGTCTCTTTGGATTCTATTAGACCTTCAGACTTTAAGTAGCATGCGGGGGGGGGGGAATAAAGTTGCACATTGAGGTGCAATTTTAGATTGCAAACCACCAGCCCCTTTCTAGAGGGACGCTTTTGAAGCGTGTTGGGACCTAGTGGCCCAAAAGGTCTCTGAAGACCTCCCTGCAGGGGTCCGGAAAGGTGTTGGGAGCGCCTGCTATTTTGGAGAAGGACCCCCAAAGATTTTCTCAAGCACAGTTATGGCCCCGATTGTAAGATATGCTTGTGATGGAAAAGCAGCCTTCGGGTTCTCCCAGCATCGGCATGTTAGCAGAGGGAGGGACCCGTTCTCCTTTAACATGTTTCAGCCACCTTCGTGATCTACTCAGTTGGTGACAACGAAAGAACAAAGGGAATCCCTTGCCCCGGGCACCCCGCCCTGGAAGCACCCCCATCGCAAGCAGCCAGCCAGCCAGGGAAGGCCCTCCAAAACGGAGAGAACAAAACGGAGGCCCTGTCTCTAGAATTAATTTGGGGCGGGCGGGCGAGGTGGAATCTTCGCTAGGCTTTGTCGCCCTGCGACGCCCTTGCGTGGGGAACAATCCTGCGTGGGACTCCTACGTCCCGCTGGCTTCCGAGGTAAGCTGAGGCTGGAAGCTCTTCCCGTTCTCCGGGTCCGATTAGGCGCCGTGTTTGAAAATGAATAGCGAGGGCGAGAGAAAGGGGGGCCGGCTGCTGATAAGTCTTCTGGCTTGAGGAATCCAGTCTGTTTTTGTGAAATGAAAGGGAAAGGAGACATTTTTTAAAAAAGAAAAAGAAAGAAGCGAGTGTGGTCACATGGCTGCCCCTAAGATGCCCTCCACCAACCCTTGATAAATGGGGGGCGATTTTCAGTGAAGGCAGCCCCGTCGCCGGTCCCTCTCTCTCTCTCTCGCCTTTGCTGGCGGCGGCCCTTGTTATGTCAGGGGCGATGGAGAGAACTCGGCAGAGTCGGCCTGGCCTGCTGTTTGTTACAAATGACTCCCGAGGGCCTGTTGAGTGTGTTTGGGCCGGCATCAATTTGCCCCCACTGCCAGGCCTATTCTTGGCGGACGGGTGGGCGGGCTGCCGGGTTTAAAACAAACCATTAGCTTCGCCTTAACCTTTCGACAAGGTTAGGCTTCCCAAGCACTGTATAAATATCATTTTCCCTTGTAATGAAATGGCGTGCAGAAGGACCAGCAAGGATTTCAGGCCACTTTAGTCTGCATTATTTTTTTTTTAAAAAATTGAAGCTATAAAAAGTTTTTATTTTCTTTTAATCAGACTTGTACTTTAGTGAACCTGACATAATCCGATCTTTCCTTGTCTGGGTTAGTTATCAAGCAGACGAGGACTCAGTTGATTGGATTCTGGGTTCCAAGCCAGGCAGCGATCCTCTCCCGCTCTGGATCTCCAGGTGCGCTGCCTTGTCTAAAGCTCTAGGCTTCTCACTCTCCATTGATTTAAGGGGTCAGGAATGCCGTCGTTCCCTGGGAGGGGGGTTGATTTATTTTCTGTGTTATGGGTCTTCTAGAATTTTTTGGGGAAAAAAAGTTTCTTGCCCCCCTCTTCTTTCTTGGATGCACAGGCCAGAGAGACTTAATTTGTGCTAGAGTGTTGACACAATAAATCGCTTGGATTTCAAAATATATATATTAGTCACATTTATATCCTGCCTTTTCTTAATGAGCTCAAGGCTCTTTTCCTCCCCGCTGTATCTTCACAGCACCCCTGTGAGGTAGGCCAGAGTTTTCCTACCCTAAGGTAGACTGCTTGAAGATCAAAACGTTAGAAGAACTAAAAGGAAGAGATGTTCTGCGGCGGGAGGCCTCTAGGATCAGGGACTCCCCTCCCTTTTTTTAAAGGCTCCATGAAATACTGATGCTAGCTTTGCAGAATAAATTACCCATTGTGTTGTAATGCTTGTCACCCTTCCGAGAACTGCAGTGACCCAGAACTAACCAGTAATTTGTACCCACCATTTTGTTATTCCACTTTCACCCCTCCTCCTTTTATTGAACCCCCCCCATCTCCAGGGTATTTAACTCAGGTTGTGGTTGAAGCACTAACCATAGACCCACACCCATCCTTTCAGGGGACACACAGGACTCCCCATCATCTCTAGTTTCCTAAATTGGGGCTCCTGCTGTAACCATGGCCTAGAAGCAGTTGCAGGTGCAAAGCTCTCAAGTTGCCTGTTTGGGCAGCCACAGGCTTTCCTCTGCAACTGGGTTTATGGGTGCATGGATTTTTCCCCTTGGAAACACCTGTCATCATCTTCTGCTAGCGGAGAGGTAGGGAGACACCCTTGAGGAGGCAGTGGTGTTATCCAAGGTGCTGAAAACACTTCTGGAGTCTTAACACTCCTGCACTTTGCAGTATGAGGAAGAGGCTTGTAATCTAGGGAAGAGCTCATTGAAATAAACCCGCTACAGTAGTTTTTTACGGTTTAGCAGCAGTACTTACTGTTTTGTTTTCCCCTGCTTGATGCTTGACCGTCCCTGTTTCCCTAGGTTTGAAATGTGTTGCTTGAGAACTTGGCACAGGGATCCTTACCTGAGTAAAGGTTAATTTCCCTGCCTTTAGCACTGTCACTAAGAATCTCCCCAGTGTGTTCAAATCATTCTCTAGGGCAGCCATTCTCAACAGATGTCATATCGTCCCCTGGGTGTCGTCCCCTCGACATTTGAAGCGGGCCCACAGACTGGAAACAATTCTTCACACACCACCTTATAAAGTCTCTTATGGGACTTACGCAATCCTGAATCAGCCTTCCATTCCTTTCATATTGTAAAGGTTGAGAATGGTTGTTGTGGGTCCAGAGCACAGAGTGCCGTCCTCTGAAGATGCCGGCCACAGGGCGAAACGTCAGGAAGAACAACCTTCAGAACATGGCTAAAAAGCCTGGAAAACCCACAACAACCATTAGATCCTGGCCGTGAAAGCCTTCGCGAATATGTATGTTGAGAACGGTTGCTTTAGAGGGAGTTGGGGGTGGGGGAGGCGAGGTCATCATCCCTAGATTTGCCTGTTTTATTTATTTTGTTTTTGATCCCAATAGGTGGGTGCCCCACTTTTAATTTCAGTGATGCCCGAACTAAATACAAGTGGGATATCTCACTCCCCTCATCATTGAGTTGCTGTACCTTTAAACACCTCAGAGAAGCAGACATTGTCTTTCTCCCGCTATTGTCTGGGAAGAGGGAGAGGTTGAGTGTTGACTCTGGGTTAAGAGGCAGGTGCCAGGGGGTCTGCGTGTCGGAGGGCAACCTGTGTATCTGCCTGCCTGGGTTGGAGGTCAGGTTCTGCCAAGTGGCGGCCTTTCCCTCATCTGGTCGCTCTGTGTGAGGGCCTGCAATGAGAAACTGAGAGGAGACAACCCGAGTGGTGGCCAATGGCAAGTGTGGCCTAAGCACCACACTGCCTTCTGTGCCACTAGTAGAGCCCTTAGCCTAAGGCCTGCTGCAGCCCTAAAGGGGGGGGGGGTAGGCCCCGTGGGACAGACAGGCGCAGGAGTCCCTCCTTCCGATGCCAGCAGGAGCCGGCTGACGGGGAGGTGCAGCCCAGCATCGGGGAGGACCAGCTGTTGCTCTGGCCGG